GAATAACTTTAGGATCTAAGCACTGAAAGTCATAGTGTCAACATGAAGTGTGGCAATTACAACAGACTTTGGAATAATCCTCTTGTATTTACTTGCTTAAATGCATGTGCATAGTTTTCCTAGAGTCTTCATGTGCAGTGGCACCATAGGGCTAGGGCCTGTCATTGCTGCTTGCAGCTAAATTTGCATTTCTATTTCTATTTCCAAAATTATCATACATAATCATTGTATGCTATTGTTTTCCTCCTTTTACTCTGGAATAGAAATGAAACTCTACAAATGAATACTTTACTCACCTTGAATCCCAACGTTTCCGGTGTTTTCTCTGGGCCATATCCACTGGGCATTGATCCAGTGAGTACACACTCTCTGATTTATGAAGCACTCATCTGTGGGTGGCAACCGCATCCTGAAATAGTGCATTACAGCTCAGAGTAATTCTTTGATATTGTTTGCAGAGCTCTGATTTATCATGTTCTATTGACCTGTAGATTTGGAACATGGCCGTGAATCGCCTGTCCTTCCTCAACTCCTACAAGATGAAGATGTCTGTGATCATTGGAGTCATCCACATGAGCTTTGGGGTGGTGCTCAGTGTCTTTAACCACTTGTGAGTGAGCAATTTATTTTATAAATGTGTTTGTGTTTGTAATGGTAAAGGTTATGTTACTAATTATTATACGAATAAGTAATTTAGAGCATGGTTTACAAACTGGGGTCTGGGGACTCCAAGGCAGTGTTTTATTATCATTAAAGATACTCATTGTTTAAGTACTTAACTGCAAGTATTTCAAGGTGTGCGAGTACTTCATTTCAAAAAGTGTGCAAGTACCTGACTTTAATAAGTGTGGAAGTACTTGACTTTAATAAGTGTGCGAGTACTTGACTTTAATAAGTGTGCGAGTACTTGACTTAAATAAGTGTGCGAGTACTTGACTTTAATAAGTGTGCGAGTACTTGACTTTAATAAGTGTGCGAGTACTTGACTTAAATAAGTGTGCGAGTACTTGACTTTAATAAGTGCGCGAGAACTTGACCTAAATAAGTGTGAGACTTGACTTTAATGAGTGTGCGAGTACTTGACCTAAATAAGTGTGCGAGTACTTGACTTAAATAAGTGTGCGAGTACTTCACTTTAATAAGTGTGCGAGTACTTGACCTAAATAAGTGTGCGAGTACTTGACTTTAATAAGTGCGCAAGTACTTGACTTTAAGAAGTGTGCGAGTAATTGACTTTAATAAGTGTGCGAGAACTTGACCTAAATAAGTGTGAGACTTGACTTTAATAAGTGTGCGAGTACTTGACCTAAATAAGTGTGCGAGTACTTGACTTAAATAAGTGTGCGAGTACTTGACCTAAATAAGTGTGAGAGTACTTGACTTTAATAAGTTTGCGAGTACTGTCTTGACCTAAATAAGTGTGCGAGTACTTGACTTTAATAAGTGCGCGAGTACTTGACTTTAATAAGTGTGCATGTACTTGATTTTAATAAGTGTGCGAGTACTTGACTTTAATAAGTGTGCGAGTACTTGACTTTAATAAGTGCGCGAGTACTTGACTTTAATAAGTGTGCGAGTACTTGATTTCATTTTTATTTAAATGCCAGTACTTGGCATGTGTGAGTATGATGTGAGTACTTCACTTTAAAAGGTGTGTGAGTACTTCACTTCAAAAATATGTGAGTACTTCAAAAAGTATGTGAGTACTTGACTTCAAAAAGTGTGTAATTACTTTACTTTAAAAACTTTATACATAGAAAATATATAGTCACTTGCATATTTTCAGAAAAGGTCCTAATCAAAAGGTTCTGTGTGACATACAAAATAATGAAGCACATACAACATCAGTTGTTAATCAAATTCTTTCTGCATTAATCTCTCTATGCTCTTATACTCTATAAATTCTGTCTTTGCTCTTTTCCTCTCTGTGTATTCACAGGCACTTCCGACAGAAGTTTAAGATCTATCTTGTCTTTCTTCCTGAACTGCTCTTTCTACTTTGTCTCTTTGGGTACTTGGTCTTCATGATCTTTTACAAATGGCTGGCATTCTCAGTGCAAGACTCTCGGCTGGCTCCAAGCATTCTCATCCACTTTATCGACATGTTCCTAATGCAGGGGAATGCCTCTACTCCGCTTTACCCCGGGCAGGTGTGTGTGTGTGTGTGTGTGTGTGTGTGTGCACATGTGTGGGAGGACTAGTCAGTATGCTTGATATCTGCATTTGTGTTAATCCTCTTGTAACAGATGGGACTGCAGGTGTTTCTTGTCGTGGTTGCTCTGCTGTCTGTGCCAGTGTTGCTGCTCGGGAAACCTCTATACCTCTACTGGCTGCATCATGGCGGGAAGAGACTGGGGGTCCACAGGGTTTGTCTGTGTTCTTGTGTATGTATGTGTTCGTATCTGATGTCAAGATATCATGGTACATTCATAAATTATTAGGGCTGTGGATCGCTCTAAAAAACCTAATTAATCTCACAACTTTTCATGAATATAGAAAATCACAATGAAAAATACAACTTAATCCTGAAATAGTCTTTATTTTCTTTATTCAGATTGTTTTGTTTTTTATTGTTATTATTTTCGGGTGAAATGTCACCCACATTGTTTTGTGAGATTTGACTCAAATGTGGTCTTCAGATGTATGTTCGTATGTGTGTAATAAAGTATGTATCCTGATATATTGATACATGATGACCTGGTTAAAGAGACTATCACTTTGCGTGTAGGGCTACGAGAGAGTTCGGCGTGTGAGTGAAGAAGATCTGTCACCGTCTGTAGTCCATGATGAAGAGGATGGACTAAGTGACTCTGGAAAGCCTCAGGAGGTTAAAGTTGAACTATCTCACATAAAATCACCATTAAAACACAGTGGGTCTCATCAAATAATAATTGGGTGGATTGTTTTCTATTTGTACACACATTAGAGCTTCTTAATAATAAATTAACTTTAGTTAACTAATTTACTACTACACTAATTTAACACTAAATTAAATTAGACACTAATTTAAGGCCACCCACATTGTGATTTGTGTGTATATCTGTGTGATTTCAGATTAGGGTTTACATTTTTTTGTAAATTTAGAATAAATTTTAATATGAAACTTGTTTGTGTAATTGGTCACACACAGATTTCATCAGACTAATTTTGCTTATTCATTGTATACATGTTGCTAACAGCTTGTTTGTTCACTGGCAGTTTGATTTTGGAGATGTATTCCTGCATCAAGCAATTCACACCATAGAGTACTGTTTGGGCTGCATTTCCAACACAGCCTCCTACTTGCGTCTCTGGGCCCTGAGTCTCGCCCACGCCCGTGAGTGTCTGGTTGTTCATTCATAAAACACATTGAAAAACCAGCATGTTTCATTGCATCATTGGCAAATGAATATCTTTTTGTGCATATATTGTATTTGTCTTTATATTAGAGCTGTCAGAGGTACTGTGGGCGATGGTGATGCGTCAGGGTCTAAGGATGAGCTCCAAACTGGGCGTGCTTTTCCTTGTGCCTGTGTTCAGTGTCTTCGCTCTGCTCACTGTCTCCATTCTCCTGATCATGGAGGGTCTGTCCGCTTTCCTCCATGCTCTGCGTCTTCACTGGTGAGCACACAGCCTCAGATATGGGCAGGTTTAATTATCAGAAATGGTTTGTGTGATTAAAAAATAAAAAATCCAATCCAATTCAATCCATTATTCTTTTAAATATTTTAATATTAAATATTTTGTTACATTTGAAAGTCAAACTAAATATTTGAACGTCAAACTATATATATATATATATATATATATATTTTTTTTTTTTGCAGGGTGGAATTTCAGAACAAATTCTACAGTGGAACAGGAGTCAAATTTGCCCCCTTTGACTTCTCTCTGTTACCTTCTGCTTTTGAGCACGATGGGTTACTCTGACTGTAACCTACAACTATTTGAACAGGACACTGTAGCTTATCATCATGACCTACTGAACTTTGGGCACCGGACAGTATCCAGATCCAGCAGTTGTAAAAGAAAAAAAAAAACATGGTTTCTTGCTAAACGTGGTCACGGTCAGATCAGCAGGCTAACCTGACAGCCCTATTTGCACCAGTTGATATCAGATGTTTCTGGTGTAGGATGATTAGCTGTGGTTCTGTCATGTACTGTCATTCAAAGAGTGTCAACAAAGTCCTGCTATTATATTTATCTTCAGAGATATGACTTGTATTTGATATTGCACCCTCATAAGCATTTGCTGTCATATCGCTTTTAAAAGTGCCATAACTATTTTTCAATGTACAGTTTTGTATACTACACTAAATTGTACTTTTGCTTGCAAATAGCTAGATCTTTACACATAGAAAAAACTTTGCAGGTAAATCATGGTGTAGGTAATGCTATGCTGTGCAATGAACAATGCCAAATAACAGTTATAATTACCAATGTGACATTAAAGCATCATTTCCACCATTTGGCGTGTAAAGCAGTTTTCCAAAGTAGCATTTTGGGTTGAAAATTAATTTTAAGACACTGCTTTATTCATATTTCGAATGAAATATTTTTAATATGTGTTTATGGTTAAGGAACTGACAAACCAACAACTGTACATGGGAATACGGTTTTGTTTGCCATGTTTTTCATCAGCATTCCTGTAAATTTACATTTGTGTTTCAGTCACTTATAAACAAACTTTTATTATACGAACAGTGCAGAGTTGTGCTTATAGTGATGCAGTTTAAGAACATTTCATACACATCATACAAGACGTCCCCGTTACGCAGGGCAGGACTTATTAAATGAATTTTAAGTAGGTCATTCTGTAGACGCTTAGGACGAATCCATTGACAGCAACATTTAATTTCCCTATATTTAGCTTATTTCCTTCATGATGAGTTTAAACAAACAAACTGCATCAAAGTTAACATTAAAACACATCTATATAGCATTTAATACCAATTAATCGCGAAATTATAATATTAGTAATAAATAACTACACCCGTTTGAATAATTGGTAGAGTCTGAAGTGTGTCATCCACGCATGCGCAGTTCAGGTCTCGACAGAAGGCACACGAAATGGCGTCTGCTGCAGGTAAGGGTAATGTGAAACCTTTTGTACTCTTTCACACAATGTTAGATATTTTAGAAAATACCAGCCTGTGTGTGTCTTTTTGTCGGGGTTATAGTTATCGTTAAGCATGTAATGCGTATCATAAAACGCATTAAATCCATAAAATATTCATTGTATCATGTTTGCCGGTGTGGTTCGAGCCGGTTTGGTCCGTCTGCGTTGGAAATGGGGGAGGGGATGGAAAAACTGCGGCATTTTTCTTTGCTTCAAACAAATCCAAGTCATTTATTTAACGGATGCCACACATTTGCCGTAGTTATTATATGCAGGTTATTTTATTAGCACAAATTTACACGTGCCGGTCTGTTGCTTGGCAACGCTTGAGCTGAGAAGCGGGCTAATTGTTATTAACTTAGCTCACGAGCTGGTATGTTTGTGTTAAATCGTGCTCAGGTGTGTCTTATCTAAATAATCCACTGCTATTCTAAATCATTTTATATATTACACACAGGAATGCATCCGTTTCAACATCTGTTACAAAATGTGAATGAAGAGAAAAACATTATTGTCTCGTGTTAATTTGAATTTGGTGGTTGTGCTTGCTTGCGCATCGAAACCTAATCTTATCCCCCCTCTTAAATATCTTGGATAAACTTTTTTTCGGACGATTTTTAAATACCCCTTTGACCGTTTTTCCTTTACGTTATTAATTAACCACGATGAGCAAAGTGTATGACCGTACATTTTTTTGAAAATGTGACCCATTTCCAGAGCTTTGTTCTTGCTTTGATATATTTGATATTCTAAATGAATGTTAATGTTGATTTCTCGCAGATTACAACAGTTACGGACAGGCTGGAGGCCAACAGGGGTATGTATAACATATATAGGGTTCCCAAAGTCAAAATAAGGAATTTCCATAGAAGTTCTATACTGTCTAGTACATGTTTGTAGTTACACTGTGATTGCAATCTATATAAAGTTAATTTTATCTTAAAGGTATAGTGCACCCAAAATCATAAAATCAAAATGTAAAAAATTTGATTGAAAATCATTATTTACTCACCCTCATGTTGTTTTAAATCAGTATACATTTCTTTCACACAAAATATGATATTTTGAAGCATGCAAGTAACCAAACAGTTGATGGACCTCATTAAGGCGAGAAACTACAGGTGATTAGGGTAACATTTTTAAATGATAGATATCACCTTGAAACTTCCTCAGTTGGTTACTTGCATAAGTATATTAAAAAAAGTATTGTAAGTTTTTGAAATTTGTATGTTTAATAATGCAAATTAGGCATTATCTCATTAAATATGTGCAATTTTTGCATATATTTTTGGTAAATAGGTCTGAACATATGATATAGCCAGGTGCAAAATTCATTTTTCATTTTGTTTACACAGAAGATGAAGAAAAAAGTTCAGAGGGATTTCAGGATAAATGCTTTCATTACCTAGGAAATCATAATATACTGTCCATACCCTTAAAAAAAAATCATCGCCATTTTTTAATTAATGTCACAAATTAGGCGATTTATTAACAAATCCCTCTGAAAATATCTTCAGAATACTGCTAAGTGTATAACTGGGAAGTGTGATGTATATAGATGCTATATAGGCAGGGATATTTGAACTGGAGAATGACAAACTCATTTTGAGGAAAAAGGCTTTTAAAGATTTAAGTAGGGAATTTAATACATTTCTTTTGGGAAAAAAAAATTCTCAAAAACATAATAAATGCTCAGGCCCTTAGTAATAATAATATATAATATTTCAAGCTCATGAAAACTGATTATGTGATAACATGACAGACATATAAGGCCTACATCTGCAGTAAATCAATGAATTAATATTGGCAGGGCACACCACGTGATGCGTCTGAGTGAATCGCGTTAGAAGAAACCAGCAGTAGCCAATGAGATTTCGTCATTGGCTTTAAATCACCCTTTGGACCTTCACGATTGGTTACTGATAGAACGGAAATGCCCATATTTTGGGTTATACAGTGTTTTGCAGGGGATTCAGAGCTTTAACAACCATACAGGTCATGGCGGTTTTGAAAGAGCATGTCTTGAAGGAGTAAACTAGCCCAAAATCTCAAAACTGATCACTACATAAAAAATTACATGCTAAAGGGGTCCATCAACTGTTTGGCTACCCATATTCTTCAAAATATCAAATTTTTTGTTCAGCATTAGAAAGTCATGCACAACTGAAAATGTATGTATAATCATGGCCTGTCTGTTGGTCATATATAAACATTCCTGTATATAGTAGTTTAATCATTTATCAGTAATACAATTTTTCATCTGTTATCAGGTACAGCTCCTATGCGGCCCAGCCCTCACAACAGGGTTATGCTCAGGGCACTCAGGTAAACCGTCACTTTAAATTCTTTTCTACATGCTTATTTCTGGATAAGTGACTTACTATATGTGCTCTTTTCATCTAGCAATCCTATGGTCAACAGCAAGGCTACGGTTCATACAGCCAACCGGCTGACTCGACATACTCTCAGACCAGTGGCTCCTCCAGCAGTTACAGTCAGCAGCCGTATGGATCATCCTACGGACAGCAACCACCAGCCAGCGGTGTGTTATTTTTGTATTTATTCGAACAGCACTGAATTTCACCAAAATCTGCAAGGGATGTGTGTTTATTCAATGATTTGTTTATTTTTACCTTTTGTAGCTGGTTATAATGCTGCTACAGCTGCTCCGCAGGGCTACAGTCAGCCTGTGCAAGGTTATGGTAGCAGCAGCTACGATTCCTCCACTGCTGCTGCCGCCGCCGCTGCTTCAACCACCAGCAGTAACCAGACCTCTTATGCTGGGCAGACCAGCTACGGTGCCCAGTCTACATATCCGGGATATGGGCAACAGCCTGCTTCTACTGCACCACCAAGGTATTGGGTTCATTCTGTTCTGCATAGTCCCCAAAGTTTGTGATGGTCACTGATTGTAAATTCAAAATTTTCTTCAGCAGTTACAGTTCTGGCACCCAGCAGCCCTCTGGATATGAGCAGAGCTCATATTCCCAGCAGCCTCAGCAAAGTTCCTATTCGCAGCAGCAGGGAGGATACCAGGGCCAACAAGGAGGCTACGGACAGCAGAGCTCCTACAGCCAGCAGGGAGGATATCAACAAACTCCTTCCCAGCAGCAACAAGCTCCGCCTTCCAGCTACACAGCAGCGTCTGGGTCCTACGGACAGCCCCCTGCTAGTCAGTACGGACAGCAGGGCAGTACAGGAGGAAGCTATGGCCAATCAGACTACAAACCACCCAACCAATATGGTAAGTCTTCTGGTTGTAGCTTGGTAGAGACAGTCACTGGAGTTTTGCCTGTTGATTAACAGTTTTTCTTCACAGGTAATTACAGACAAGACCATCAGAACGGCATGGGAGGAGGTGGCTACTCGGGCCCTGAATCCGGAGGATATGGGGGCCCTGGAGAGGGCCGAGGCATGGGAGGGGGGGAGAGCCGCGGGCGTGGCCGGGGTGGGTTTGACCGGGGCATGATGCGAGGAGGTGGTGGCATGCGAGGGGGCCGTGGAGGCATGGGGTAAGTGTGCTTTTGTGCAGTCTCTCCTCACCACTACTTTTTCCCTCAGGCAGGAGCTGAAAGAGGCAATACAGGGCTGAGAGCTGTGCTAGATTCATAATTTGGCAGAAATGAAACAATTTTTTGGCGCCAAAGCATGAATTATATGCTCTAATTGTAGAAGTTAATTTGATAGTCACACAGTTGTTTTGAAAAGATGCCAAACTGATTTAAGTTCTGCTGCTCTCAGCTCTGCCTCATTAGGGTAGGGTTGTAGCGGTATGAGATTTTTCACGGTATGATAACATCACAGAAAATGTCACGGTATATAGTATGAACCAATTACAACTATCACCAGTTACGATGACCCTTAAATAACAAACATGAAACCATTTGTTAGTTTAATTTAATTAAAAGCACATCAAATCCAGTTAATTTGATTAAGTTTTTCTTTTTTTTTTACAATTAGGTAGGCTGTAATAGTCCTTTGAAATGTCTATTATTCAGAAATTCTGGTTTGTTTGTTTTTCTGGATTCTGTTTTATATTTGAATACAAATAGATGATCAAATTGGGTGGTGATCAGATGTACCACCCAAATCAGATGCTTATATTTGCTGAAATTATTATAATTGAAGTACATTCTATTATATACAGTAGTTCTGTGATCATTTCAAGTTAACCCTAACTTTTATTTTGATGGGTTGTAGTGAAGACCTTTGAGGTTCAGTGTGTTTGACGATGGGCTTTCTCAAATAAAATGCTGAAATGCTTATTAAGCTTTCACTCAGAGGAGTTCTAGTGGTATTCGTGTCCTAAAATGTCTTGATGGCCGGCTTACTTTTATGCAGTAGACAAAGTAATCGAGATGATTATATATTTAAATGGCTGTCTTTTTACGCTTGAATATTCTCACAATCTAGACCGTATCACGATTTGATTTATAGTACAGCTCTTACTTTTCAATTCATCCATCAAATGGAGCGTTTGACATGACATCTGAGTGATGCTGTAAATTCCATTTTCATGACTGGATTCATCCTGGATCATGGAAATCATACGCCTTAAGTTATAAACCCACATACCTTTATCTGCACGGAGTGATGGGATGGTGTATAGGCGAACGTGTTTTTCGGTCTCCTTTCATAACTGCTTTTCCTCTATTTTTGCTGCCACTTTGCGTCGATTTCTTTTTTTTAATATATTTTGTTTTTTCCCCAAATTGGATTTCTATCCCTCGGACAACCCCAAGGTATCCCTCCTCCCCCTGTAGATAAGGAATGTAGATGTGCATGATTTGATAATCCTATGCGTTCATACTGTGATTCCGTCATACCGGTATACACTACAACCCTACATTATGGCCTAAGGTAAGATGATAGAGAATGTGCTTTGGGAAAAAATATAATAATTTCAATCTCATTTACAATAATTAAATACATTTGTGGGATCTTAATAAAAGAGCTTAATGTTAGAAAAGGGAACAAGATGATTAAACATAAAGAGAAAAAGATTTCAAAAGATCTGTACTCCGAGTGGTTGTAATAAGATCATCAATGCAGAGTGTGATCCTTTAGGATAAATAAGGTGTATTAGTTACTCTAAATGGTATTCTGTAGATCTACCTACAAATCACAGGCTTGCAGGTACACAAGTTTCAAACTAATTAAATTAATTAATTAATTAAATAAACTATTTAATATTACTCTCAACTTACTCTTCACGGTAAGTGAAATTTAGGGGTATTTTTGGAAAGGCGAAGGTGTTAAAATGGGTGATAATTACTAGAGTCCAGGATAAATTCCAGGTTACTCTGCAGAGTTTAAAAACTCTTTTAATAGGTCTGGTTTTCATAAAATGAACAGTGTTTTATAATTAAGAATATTGGTTCCCAAAGACTTCTTAGTATGCTCATGCTGCCAAAAGTAAGAAGCTAGCGCAAAGCAAATATGAAAGTGAATGCAGTGATGCTCAAAACAAAACGTACTACACAATGCCTTTGCCCCTTCTTCATTAACTTGAGCGTGTCCCCTGCTAGGTGTTTTTAAAATGCATATATTTGGTCTATTCATAGATTTATTTTACAGTGAGCTTGTTCAATACTATTAAAGTAAACTATATTTTGGTTATGAAGGTGAAAATGCACTGCATTCATTTTCCTTATTAAAAGGTATGTTTTCTTTATCTGTCACACATTTGGATTGCAATTGTCTTGTGCATTATGAAAAGTTTTCTTTAACATGCTTTGTCGCATTTATACGCTACAGGTAACAAAGTGAGAGCCATGTAAACACATCAATACTTTTACAGTACCACTACTCAGTTCTGAGTCTGGGCCGGCAGCCTTTTGAAATGGGGACTTAAAGTTGGTGGTGTCAAGAGGTGTTCCAAATGTGTATTTCCAACAGGAATGAAACCATGTTTTGCAACCAAAGAAAATTTGTAATAATTATCTGAACATACAAGTTTTCTTTTTTTTGTTTAACAAAACATTTTTTTTGTGTTGTGTAATTTTAGAAACTTTTATGTAAAGATGAAAAATGGTGTTATCTGCTTTTTCTTTTTTCTTTGACTAAAATGCATGTACCAGCTTTATGTAAGCAGATTGTTTCAGATACAGCCACAAACAGGCTACTCCCGCATTTTGGTGCACTTGCACCAAGCTTTTAGCTCCTTCGTGAGGATTATTTGTCGTATAATATTTACAAGAGTTGATTTTGGTGTAGTTTTAAATATCGCATGACCTCATTCGTTTTCACTTAAAGTTCGTAGCAAGGCTGCATCTGAAACAATTACATCCCAATCTAAGTGTACAAATTTCTGGGTTTTTCCACTTACAATAGTAATAAAGATCAACCCTTACTTCTGCTTAATACAACCCCAATACTGTTCAGCCACTAATGTCATTAAACTGTAAATTGAGCAAGTCAGATTAAGGGAAGAGACATTGTAATGGTACAGCACCCCACCCTAACTGAGTGTTCCTCTCAGAAATACTGTGTTTTTATAAGGGGGGGCTTGAGAGTTTTTATGAGGGTTTAGAGTCAGTCAGAACTGTGCAAATACCCCCATTACCCCTTTTGTGGTACCGAAGTGGCTGTTTTAAGGGATATCGCCTTCATATCTTCGCTTATTCCCCCCCAGCATCGCTGGAGACAGAGGTGGCTTCATTAAGCCTGGTGGTAAGTTTAATGAGAATCACAAGACCATACACTAGATCTCTCCACCTTTTATGGGTGTTTTTCAAAAGGGAAATATTTAATGCCTTGCAAAACTATACTGCCGGCTAAAATTAAGAGCTCAGCTTTTGCCATTGGTCGTATAGGAATGGTTCAGTCCTATTTTTATTGGTTAAAAAAATCCTGAGTGTGGACTCCAATGAAAGGTTATTTTTGCTCTCGTATTTAGGAGTTAATGGTAAATGGCCGACCCAGCCATGTAGAGTATCACCATTTCAGCGTTTACTACTTTTTCAATTTTATATGATATCAGGTGTGGAGTCCAATTTGGGTCCTTGGTTTTTCAAGGGTTTTGCAAATATACTTTTTTTTTTAAAGGCACACTGGAAAAAGAAATAGGTAGCTTTTGACTAGTTTCCTCTTAATACTTTTGACAATAATCAGACCATTCTTGGGTCAACAGCACAATGGTATTTTGTCTTTTATGTCTTCGAATGGTCAGAGCAAGTGTGCCGGGGCAGTCTTGACCAGGAGATGGTAGCATAATGTTGTCAGGTGCTTGAATCTCAGCTTGTAAACTAACTTGTTTCTCACTGTCTTTTTCTCTTGGTGTCCTGCTTAATGAACCTCCGGAACAGATGGTGACATGGGTAGGTTTGGTTTTGGGGTTGTTATTTGTCCTTTTCTGTCCATTTTATTTAGTTTTATCAATCCTTTAACACCCAGTGTGTTCTGCAGGACGGCCAGAGGAGCAAGATGACTCTGAAAACAGCACTATCTATATCACTGGGCTGACTGAGAACGCTACATTGGATGAAGTTGCAGACTTTTTCAAGCACAGTGGAATCATTAGGGTACTTGATACTTTTTTAATGCAATCAATATAATGAAATGGCTTGGGAAAGATAAAGCTTTTATTTTTCATGCATTTTTTTCATCGTGCATTTTATTGGATTTCTTGAAACTTATGATATTGTTTCGTTCATCTTTCTAAGATAAACAAACGGACCGGCCTGCCTGCTGTCAACATATACACAGACAAAGACAGTGGGAAACCTAAAGGCGATGCCACCTTATCCTACGAGGAGCCTCCATCTGCTAAAGCAGCTGTTGAGTGGTTTGATGGTATGTTGGTCTTTATTTAAATCAGTCTTTAATGTATTTCCATGCAGTATGAGTCATCTAGATAAACTGAAATGATTGTTTTTCCTCATTAGGAAAAGATTTCCAGGGTAAGAAGCTGAAGGTGTCCATGGCCCGACGTAAGCCCATGATGGGAATGATGCGTGGAGGCATGCCAATGAGAGGAGACCGAGGTGGCATGATGGGACGAGGAGGTATGTTTAGTTGCTGTTTTAGAAGCAATAGAAAACTGCATTTCTATGCATTTTAATTTGAAATTGGATTTTTTTTTTTCCCGCTAGGAATGATGGGTCGTGGAATGGGCAGAGGTGGAGATCGAGGAGGGTTCATGCCACGTGGGGGTCCCAGAGGAATGGGCCGTGGAGGGCCTACTGGAGGAAACATGCAGCAGAGGGCAGGAGACTGGCAGTGTCCAAATGCGTATGTATTTCAGTAATGGTGCAGTGATTCTCAACGATCCATGTATTCCGTTCTGCTTCTGATTTTGAGTCTTTGATTTTTTCTAGGGGATGTGGAAACCAAAACTTTGCCTGGAGAATGGAGTGTAACCAGTGCAAGGCACCCAAACCTGAAGGCTTTGGCCCTCCTCCCTTCCCTCCTCCAGGTTACTGTCTTTCATATTCTTGTCTTGTCGGTAGGCTTGCCGCGATAGACGGTGTTGACGGTGTTACCGGTTTTAAGCCCCATCACCGGTGACATCACTTTCCCACCGTGACACCGCGATGTCTTGACTTTTTTTTTTTAAAGTATTCGTTTTTGCTAAAATATTTATTTGAATTAATTAAAAATAATAATTTTCAATTATTTAGTTCTGAAGAGAGCATTATAATTAAAAATGAACTGCGCAACGCGTGCCGTCACGTCACAGATCAGCAAGCATCAGGATTCCATTTAGCACGTGTGGAGACGAGAACGAGTCAAATTACAGAAAAGCAAGATAATGGCGGAAGATTTGGTGTCAAAACGCAATGCAAAAGCGCCTGTTTGGCAATATTTTGGCCAATATATATTAATGTTAATAAATGCCAATTTATAGTGTTTTACTTTTTTTTAGAGTGCTGTCATTTATGTAGGCTAAGGTCCTTTTTAAAGTTTTTATTTTATATTCGTCTCTTTTTATTTGGTTTTATCTTATTTGAACTTTGTTTAATTTATTTAGGCCTATTTTGTTTTCTTATTCGTTAATAAACGTTTTATTTATTTTTTTTGGGCCCACAGTTTGCCGATTTTCACTTTTTTCAGCCTATGCATGGGGTTATTTTTATTCGTTCGTTATGCTAATAAAAGTCTATAAATAAAAGTTTTATTATCAGCGAGTTGTTTTTTTTGTCCATTCAAGCAATTGACGCTTATTTCGAAAGTGAAAGTATAACGCGCACGCATTTAAAAGCTATTTAACCCCCCCGCCCTGCCCTCCACGGTGACACCGGGATTACCGGTGTTGTCACACGTCGATTAACCGGTGGGAAATTTTCCTCACCGCGGCAACCCTACTTGTCGCTTTAAGAACCGCTAATATTGTGGCTTCAGATGTTTGCATTGTTAATATTCACAAGTTGTCCTTTTGAGTTTCAGGTGGTGACCGGGGGCGTGGTGGACCAGGTGGGATGCGTGGTGGCCGTGGAATGGACCGTGGAGGGCCAGGGGGACCTGGTGGCTTCCGTGGGGGTAGAGGTGTGGACCGTGGAGGCTTCAGAGGAGGGCGTGGTATGGACCGAGGCGGTTTTGGAGGAAGAGGTCGTGGTGGGCCCCCTATGGATGACATGGGAAGAAGGGGGCGAGGAATGGGACCACCTGGCAAAATGGATATGAAGTGAGTGAAGAAAGTAGAAACTTGTCTCTGGAGCTGTGAAAGTTTTGTAGCCACAAAACAGAACAGTAACGTTGCTGTTTTTTTTTGTTTGTTTTTTTTTTTTTTTTGCAGGGGAGACCATCGCCAGGACCGGAGAGAGAGACCATATTGAGAAGGTCATACCTCGCTGGTCAACATCTTCAACCCTGTTTGTTTTTCAAATGATTTTAAAGTTGCATTTCCATATTTATAAGTGTTTAGTATGGAATTTATTACTGCTTTGCTGTTAGTCCTCAGTGAATGTTTTATTTTTTTAAAACTTTTGTTTTGTGCTCGCTTTTCTGGTCAATAACTGTCATTGAAACCAGATGCACATGTAAATGCAAGGTGTTCAGTGTGACATTTGGATGTCAGAAATGTATTTGTGGTACTTTGAAGTATTTTTTTTTTTTTTTATTCCTAATTCCCCACATTTTTTGCTCTCATGTGTGGAAATGTTTAAAACCATTTAATGCATGGCTAAAAAACCTAGGCCATGTATTTGTTTTCTGCATTGATTGTCCTTATTTCACCTGAACAGTGTGGTATCTTCTATGTAACTGAATTATGTAAATAACTGATGCTTTTCAGCCCCCTAAGTAATTTCAAACAGTGTTTAAGAGTTCACCTCAAAAAAAATAAAATTCTGGAAAAAAAAAAAAAATTGCCTGTTTTTCTTAAACCATATCATGTTATGGAAAACGAGCTGTGTGAAGATTCTTTATTCTTTTTGTGCACCAGGAAAAGAAAAAGTTTTGGAACGCAAGTACGAGTAAAAATTGGAGACACTGTAAACTGTAAAGTACACATTACAGCGCCACCTTGCGGATAGTACAGACAATATTAAAAAGGAATAACACCGCATGACTTTGTAACACCAAATGCCTTAATGCAAGGATCAAGAATCTAATCGATATCGGATCTGCAGGCCTGCATTCTGTCAAGCTTATCTCGGGATGTATAGCCTATACTTGAGCTTTTAAAAGCCTGCGCATCCGCTCTCCTCACTAATGTCTTTACGTCATATGGCAGATTCTGTGCGTCCTCGAGGCATCTACGTCATGCACTGTGTTGGTTCCCCCAGTAGCATCAGTTTTCCATCATATCTCTCAGAAGCGCCGCCTCTCCTCGCAGCGACCGCAAATTTGACTCCTCGCTCATGCCCTAAACGTGTTGCATTCATGCGAAGGCAAGTGAGGTGTCTGGCGTGCGATCTGCAGCGGTGAGAGAAGAGACAGCAGCAGCGCGCGCGTATCCCCGCGGACAACGCTTAATATGACCGAACTGGTGGTGCGGACCCTTCCGTCTCCTTCAGGTGTGCAGGGTCCCGGCCCGGACACTTATAAAGGATGGCTCTTTAAATGGACCAACTACCTGAAGGGCTACCAGCGCCGGTGGTTCGTCCTGAGTAACGGCCTCCTGTCTTATTACAGGTACGTGCACTGCGTTTCAGTTGATGCGCACGAGGAGCGCTCGAGACTCTCGGCGCGCGTGACTTTGCTGTGTCACCCCTTTCACCGGGCACGGTACGTACATTATCTGACTTTTAACTGAGGTAGAATTGCGCAGAAGTTTTAATTAAAAGGCCTCTTACTTGTAAGCACCGCAGGTTACAGCACAAGTCATTTCTTTGCTGTCCATCATCCATTCTGCAACAATGCCTCTCCTGTTTATAATTAGTAATGGGGACATCTGAAGCAACTAGCCTAGATCAAGTTTCCAACGTTCTGCAAGGGCCTAACAGAAAAAAAAAACACTATTTAACATTATACAGTGTATTTATGAGCAGTGGGGTGAGGGGTCATAGGCTACCTAGCACTATAATAGGCTACCTCTGTTTTCTCATTTACAACATTGTGCTTTAGAAATATCAATGTATTCATTTAAGTAAAAAAAGGGGGTCATGAATTTCAGGATATCTTTGTGCTTGTCTCTTTTAAAAGGCATGAACTCTTCAAGTTTTTATAGAACATGATGATGTTCTCCAGCGTGATTGAGAATATTTCAAAGAACAAATTTTGCTTCATTGGGACATCTGTCCATCTGCAGTTTAAATGCCCATTTCAAGCACATTCACCTTAATTTCATTAACATTCTGTTATCCTGAAGTAAAAATGTTTGGTGTTTTGCATAATGTATTTTTAACGCTATTAACATTATTATTCTCCTTATGATAATTGCTTTTGTACCCTTCACCTTGTATTTAAGTGTGACTGTAATGCATAAGTAAATGATGTCTTGCTACTGCAGTGTATCTGGATTTAGTATGGATTTGATATTAACAAGGCTCTGATTCTGCATTATGGACTCAGAAATCATGCAGTTATTTATTGCAGCCAGCATGTAATATTTGTCTGTCAGTCTGGAACTTTCAGTGTCTAACAGGCAATGCTGTGAGCTGGGTACCATAATCGAATACAAATTGGATAAAATACAATGTAATAGGAAATGAGATAAAATTACTAGATGAAAAAAAAATTACTGCAATACAATACACAATATAAATAAGAAATACAATAAGTCAATAAAGTAAAATAAAATTTAGTAGGATTTTACACAATACAAATATAATCACTGCCGTCTCACTCATAATAACAAAATATTAAAACTACATTATTGTTTTTTTTACATAATAATTACCATAATAATAAATTCTCCTATAAAAAAGTAAATGCTTATGTCTACACAATACTCACAATAATAAATTCACCAACAATAATAAAATAATAGAAATAAATTATGTTTTACAACATAATTACTCACAATTATAAATTCACTCATAGTCATAATAATAATAAATCATAAAAATAAATAATTGTTTTACTCAGTAATTACTCACAACGATAATTTCACTAATAATAATACAAAATTAAAAAAATATATATTATTTTACTCAAAATAATAAATTCACTTAATAATAGTTATTACTAAACTAAATAATAATAAATTCACTTATAATAATAAAACTAAGTTATTATTTTTTACATACAGTAATTACCCACAATAATACATTCCCCAATAATAATAAAAATAAATTATGTTTTACAGCATATGCTACTCACAATAATAAATTCACTTATAATAATAAAAGAATAAAAATAAATTATTTTTACACAATAATAACCCTCAATAATAAATTCTCCAATATTAAAATTCAGTTGTTATTTTTACAGCATAACTATCCACAATAATAATATTGCCCCAATAAAAATAAATTATGTTTTACAGCATAATTACTCAAAATAAGTGTTCACTCATAATAATAAAATAATAAAAATAACTTCTTATTTTTACACAACAATTACTTTCAATAATAAATTAATACAATTATTAATGTAATTGTAATTAATACAATACAATTATACAAAATAAAATATTTTTTTACAGCATTATTATTTACAATAATAAATTCACACATAATAAAACAATTGAAAAATATATTTTACACATTAATTACTCAAGTATAAATTAATTTACAAAGTATTTACACAGAAAATGAATGAAGCGCATGAATGATTGACAAGGCTGCTGGTAGATGTTGGAACTGACACTGTTATTGTGTTTGTGATGGTGTGACTCTGTCAAATCAGTTGCCTCTTTAACCCATGTCGTTGTTTGAATTTGTCTTTAGGACACAAGCAGAAATGGCACACACCTGCCGAGGCACGATTACCTTGGCGACGGTGCACATAGAGATTGGCGACACCTATCACTTTGTGTTGACAAGTGGTGGGCGGAGCTACCACCTGAAGGCCTACGCAGAGGGGGAGTGTCAGCGCTGGGTTTCTGCTCTGCAACAGGCCAAAGCAAACGCCACTCAAATGATGCCCCATTCAGGTGAGTCCTGTCCCAGTGCCAATGAAAAGCATCCCAGGATACACTTCATAAGGCCAATTCACACTGACTGACGGCGACAGTCATCAGATTACAGCACGTCTGTTCTCAGACATTTCAAGAACAATATTCAATCATGTTCAGTCGACGGAAAAGAGAGCCGGCAGGCGGTGACTGGTAACACTCAGATCCGACACACTGGTAAAACCCAACGGCGTTTGTCTGCGTCTGTTTTTGCATTGTGAATTAGCCTTAAAGGCCCATTCACACCAAGGACGATAACTAAAATTAGCAATAAAGATTTAGTTCTAAAAATCATTCTTTATATAAAAGAAAGTAGAGTTCCCTCACACCACACCTGTAACTATAACGGTACAGAGAAACAACGTCACCGGAATCACTTTCCAGCTGATGATAAAAACATTGAGAGCCAATTGAGCATTTAAAGCTACACTGTGTAACTCTTTTAGTTTATTCTTAGCTAAAAACACTTAGTTCTTTCAAAAATATATGTGCTCATTAATGTATATTTACTTCGTTCAAGTAATAAAGTATTCTCGTGAGTGTATAATAAGCCATTAAAAATACATACGGGTAAGGGGTTCTAATGTCGGTCGCCATGTTGCCCCTCCATCTTGAAAGTACATTAGCCAAAGAGGGACATACCCGTTAATTCAAGCTTCGCCTTTCGCGTTTACGTTTGACTTAACACTCATGGACGAGGTCGAACTGGAAGCCATGTTAATCTTGGACTACATTGGCCACCGTAGGAGTTAAAATGAAATCGAAATTGAGAGGAACAGAAACTAATATTCACTGGATGGTCATATACATTTTCACCACTAGATGGGGGTAAAAATCACACACTGTAGCTTTAAAGAGATAGTTCTCCCAAAATTTTAGATTATCCCTTAATTTACTCATCCTCAAGCCATCCTAGGTGTATATGACTCTTTTCTTTCAGCCAAACACTATCAGAGTTATACTTAAAAAAAATCCTGGCACTTCCAAGCTTTATAATACGAGTAAATGGTCACTTGAGATTTCGAAGGCCAAAAAAGTGCGTCCATCCATCATAAAAGTAACCCGTACGGCTCAAGGGGTTTCAAAAAGGCCTTCTGAAACAAAGCGATGAAAGCTAAAACCACTTGCTTCAGCCGTACACGAGTCTAGTTCCGGTGGATGAGTGACCTCTGACCTGACGCATGACGTAGGATGTGGGAGTAGCGTTAGCTTAGGTGAAAGTAGACGCTGGGAAACAAACTCAAGCTCAAGCAACTTTCCTCTTTCAAAATTCAAAATTTAGACTTCTAATTCATGACGGGTGTTTTGTTTTGTTTTGCTCTGCACTTCCACGTTCCTCAATATGTCATGCATCGGGTCAGAGGTCATTCTTCCGACAGAGCTACATTTGTGTACGGCGGTTACCAGAAGCCCAGGAATACAGTTTATAAAGTTGTATAGGTATTTTTCTAACATATTTTTCTTAAATTGTTTTTGTGTAAAATAGTCACGATAAAGAAAGCACATATTCAATTTTATTGTTTCAATAATCTTTCTTGTTGTTCAGGCTTTAATAATACATCAGTCTCAGCCGTATACATTCTTTTTAAACAGGTTTGCGTTCTTATCTTCTCATAACCTTTAAGGCCCGTTCAGACCAAGAAAGATATTAAAAATGATAACGATATTGTTCTAAAAATCTTTTGACAGCCAATCAGAATCCATCCTGCTTTAAAGAGCTCGAGCAGACGGCAAAACTGCTTATGATAAACGCAATATTGTTGTTCGCTGATGTTGTATATAGTAGAACTAAATGTGAATTTCATT